GTTGGTGGATTTGTATCAACAAAGGAGAGACAGAGAGAAAGAGATCTGGGAAAATCTGATAATTAATGCTGGAGTGTGTACAGCTAATTAACATTTGTTGAATGATTGTGGAGCACATTCACAAATTCTTGAAGACTGACTATGTTATGTTATTAAAAAAGGGTATTGTTACCAAAGATGCTAGCCAGCTGGTTTATTGCATACCAAAAATGTGTGGTTATAAGACAAATCTGAAGGAAGACATGTAGATGGGTGGATTACTCACTGATCTGGCAGCGGTCTCCCAATGCCTGGAACTGGGCACAGTCACACACCCCACCTTCCTGACACCAGCCGCCATTGAGGCAGCCGCAGTATTCTGGGAAAGACAAAATCAAGGGTAATCATTCCAGCCTGCCCAGGTAAAGAGTGTTAAGTTTCCGTGAATGCATTTGGAATCACTTCACAGGCGGAGTATTTACCTGAAGAGGAATCTCTGGCTGTGTAGTTGTGCAAAATACTGCGTGACAGAGTACCCTCTGACAGCAATGGTCTGTACGTCTTGGAAAAGAGTAAACAACAGATGCTAAGAGTAGTTCCTTAAATAACTCTTAAGCTTTAACAATATCGCTGACACTGATGTTTCTGTACCACTGCTCTAACTGCTCCTGTAAGATAACAGTTGCGTCAAGTTGAGTGGGAGAAAGTGTACAAGTTAGTGAGTGTGTCTCATTCTCTACAAAGACAGCTTTGTGCCGCGTAGGGTGTTGTGCGCATGTGGGTGCCCTGACCTCCTCTGGTTCTCTTAGGTGTAGTGTACAAACCTCCTCCCCGAGGAGATCCCGTTTCCTCCGGAGTGCATTAGCTCTTCTGCACACACACACAAACATGCACATTAGTGGGAAGAAACAGTCAGAGGGGAGACTTAAGTGCACTTTACACCACTTGAATTTAGACTTGAAACCTCTCTGTACTGAACTCTCACACGCACATGTGCAGGCACACACAGACACACACTCTCATACACTATCTCTGTCATATACACCATACAGGAAGTGTAAATGCATTTATCATGTTCACCCTAGAGCAATGTGTAAGAATGACATATGAAAAAAATGACTTTTCATTTGTATCATCTAATGTATTAATACTGTATTAATATTATTAGTAGACAGCAACATGTTTAGTATTCTTTCTTTTATTTACCTCTGTGGTCTTCCTTCTGCCACTGAAAGTCGACTCTGAACTCCTAAATGCAAAGTTATAAAATCAGCATTAAGGTTTCTGCCTTACTCATCTCAGTCAAAGGTATCTTATAGGTGTAAAATCAAAATACATCTCAAAGTGTACATCGTGTTAAGCAGACAGTTGTAAAATTGTATTACCATCTGTCAGTGCTAATACTGATAAAAGAAAGGAGAGATGAGTCGAAAATAACTTGTAAGACCTCAAGGATTTTGTGGCTTATTTATGTAAATATTGTCTCATACTTGTAATACATCATATAATATCAATAACATTAACATCTACAGAAGTCTGGATGTGTCTGACTTACCCTCAAGTAACAGCAAGTGGGAGACTGAAAACGACATAAGAAGAAATCGTTTCACTGTCCACTTTAAGTTCATCTCAGAGTCCGAAAGGAAGTCTCGCCGAAACGTTAACGGTGCATCTCAACTGTCCCGAGAGGAAAGAGTTCAGGGTGTTTGTTGAGCCGGTACGATGCCTGGTTGTACCTCTAAAACGTACCTGGTGGAGACAGCCCCCCCCTGACCAGCTGACGAGTAGCCTACACCTGTTGCGCAGGTAAGCCTGTTGCTTTGCTCTCTATCACTGCATCTTCAGCCAGCAGGCTGACGTTGGCTTGACCGTTTGCCACCGTGTGAGCCTACAAAGCTACCCCTCCATAACAGAGGTTTTCACCTGAATGTACCGTAAAATCACTTGTGGGGTGGGACCCTTGTCAGAGACACAAACAGAGAAACAAGCAGGGGGGAAATGAACTAGAGAGCTTCGAATTAAGAGTCCAGTTCACAAAAGTTGGTTATATAGACATTATTAGCCAAAACAAACCATAAAAACAACAAACATATATTTGAAAAAGAAAACAACAGGAGTAAAAGCCCTTCTGGAAGACAGCCCTGAAGTAAACTTAGTCCATTAGCTAACAGAAAAGTATGTTAGCTAGCTAAAAAAGAATATGAACACTGATGCAAAGATGTGTGAAAATCATTAAAGCTACCATATGTAAAGGTAGCAAAGCAAAAATAAATAAATAATAATAATAATAATAATAAAATGAATACATAAATACAAACAAATAAAAAAAAACATTTTCTTTTGTTTTCTTGCATGTTTAAGATATTTGAACTGATTTCAATTAGACAAATTAGACAAAGATAACCTAATTAAATGCTAAATGCAGTTTTTAAAAATTATAATTTGATTTATTAACAGGCATAAATTGCCCCTTAAACCTAACAACTGGTTGTGCCACCCTTGGCAGCAAGGATTGCAATCAGGTGTTTGCAGTAACTGGCAATGAGTCTTTCTTATCACTTTGAGAAGTGTTGTTCCACTCTTGTTTGAGGAATTGTTTTAATTCAGCCACACCGGAAGATGTTACACCAGTAAATACTGGTGTATATTACTGCACTGCTTACTGGACTATTAGTGCAGGAATAACTTTCTCTTGCTACACATAACAAAGAATCTGTGCTTTCACGTTAACTTTATTTCAACCTACACTTAACACAGACAAAGCTATGTTATTGCACAGCACTTGCCACCACACTTCGCCAGTGTCATCTGGTGTCAGCTGTGATCTTTTTACTACATTTAGTAAGTATGCATGTTTTTGGACTGTGGAAGGAAGCTATAAAGACCCAGATGGAGCCAGAGCAGAACATGTAAACAAAAAGTCCCAGCCTGCCTTGCTGTGGGGTGACAGTCATAATCTGCGCCATTGTTCCATTCTCAACATGGACCTGTGAATCATTCAAGAAAAAAAATATTATTAAGTCATTAACATGGGATGGACCATTGTTGTTTGTACACATAGCAGACAATTAAGCAAATAACCTATTTTAAATTGTATCTTTCAGCACTTTGTTGCTTGCTGCCTGTAAAAAAAAACCATATCATGTCACCATTACATAGTTGACTCCATGAAAAATGCCAAAGGTAGGCCTGTCCATGATTTTAAGTTCTGATCAAAATGCCTCTACAGCGACATCTGCAGTTTACAGAGTTAGTGTGAGGACAAAAAGGAGGACGTCGCAAGTCTCAGCACCTCCAGATGGGATCTCTCACAATAATTTAATACACTTCAGCTTTTTTCATGCTGATGCATGTTGTAGCAGCCCCAAAGGACTGTTAAATGAGGAGAGAAAGGATTTAGAAGGAGGGGATTCAGCAGTGATGGAGCCCTGCTGGGGACAGGATAGAAAGTTTTGCTTCGCTGGCACACTTACAGGTCTCTCTGCCACACCACTAGCACTGGATGGACTGCTTCATAAGCTATAGCCTTACAGAATCCAAACAAAACTTGCTCTTAATGCACTGGCTGCAAAATCACTCATTACAGCTATGAAATCACCAAACATTAGTGTAAATCTCCTACAGGGAACAGAACTGATAACACACTAAATGTTTTATTAATTTCAGGTAACATCCTGTGGGTTTTGCACATGGTAAAACTTAATTATCCAGTTAGTTCTGCATAGACAGGATAAGTCAGGGTCTCCTCAGGCAGCTGAGATGTCGAACTCAGAGTTTTACACTTGAATCTTTTGTTATACAGATTTGTTGTGAGGTTGTCCTGAGCTTTCCCACCTAAAGTCAGTAACTGCAGTAGCGATTATGGTATCATTATTGTTCACATGCCTGTTTACTATAATGGATGTAACCTCTCTAAACACAGCAAAATGCAGCATGGCAATGAATTAATTATTTGAGAAAAAATATTATTTTTCTGTGGGGCTTTAGGCTTTGTAGCATACACAGAGGCCTTTCCCTCTGAGCTGTTTAAAGGACCAGTTTATCAAAATAATTAAAGCTGCATATATTAGGATAGCTATTATCTACACTTATAATAATGCACCCTTGTTGTTCCTCAATGAAAATGAACTTCCTCCATAATTTTTTCATGGAATTCCTATTTGTCTGTCTATGTGTACATGAGGACAAAACACTACAGCGCTCACTATGTGCACATTATTACTTTACACTATATCGTGCGGCCATCTGCACTTCACAGATATATTTTTTAATCAAAGAAAAAAAAATGTGTGAACACCTATATCCCCAAAATGAGAAAGGATGGGTCATGGTTTAATGTAATTTTATGCACAATTAGGATTAACAAATACTGTTTCCCACCGGTTAAAATTTAGAAATAAAGACCTGTCATTAAAGAGTGAAGTGGGGTTTTTTTGTGTTATTTTGCAGAAATTGCCACTTTGTGGCTTATGCAATTACGAGCTTAAAACAATTTATTTGCTTTAGTTTCTTTTAGCATTCTGCATGGCTATACAAAGTCTGTGTTCATCACTAGTCCCTGTTAGAAATGCCCATGGTTTACTTTTGTGGCAAAACAAGAAAGGCAAATGTGACAAATTCCTATTTTCAAATTCTGTCAAGACAGGAAAAATAAAATATTCCTGTTGAGATTTGGGCCTGTTCCCACTCTCCACTTTGGCTAGAGCAAAGGAACAAGTCTGTAAGTGCCGCCTAGAAATTATCTTGGCTTCTCTTTCTTGGCTCCTCAATCACTGTGCACTATATTAACCTTTAATGATATTATTTTTCTTGTAAAATGTTACAGTGGAATACAATAGAAATTTAACGTACCTAAATGAATTTCAAAAGAATGAATCAGGCACTTAATAGCAGCCATACAAGTGCCTATTTTCAGCCCTTTGGCTTGTCTATTGCGTAAGTGTAATTTTCTTGGTGGACATCATAGAACAGATGACACTTACAAGTAAAAAAATGTAATTTGCTTTAATAACACTGTACATAGTGATGCATCTTTGATAAGGCAGAAGCAGGAGGAGGGAATGAAAAGCTTGCAGCCTGTTTTAAAGACTTGGATATTGTCATGGCTAAAGCAAGTTATCATTGAGTAGAATTAGTCAGTTAAGCTGCTTAACATTCTAAAGGAACAAAAATTAGAAGTATTTGAGGTAAATGCTGAGTTTTATATCCCTCCAGGCTTTCATTTCTTGTTGGAAATTAGTGCATTGACTTCATCTTCTGGTTGAAGGCTATGCCACTGGGCTATTGGCCGCCGGGGGTTGGCCAGCATGTCTGACCAATGGCGTTGCTCAGTTCCAGTGCTGTTCCCGCCCAGCAACACCTTCCCAATAGCGTCGTTCTTCCCAATCTTGTCATAGTCGAGCACAGTCACTGCTACCTGCACCTTCTACAAATGAAAATACAGATGCACAAATATCAGTGCTGATTATTGTATTTGTGTGCTTGTATTTGCAATTAAAAATGTGTACCTCTATCTGTTCACAAGGTACTTCAAAGCTGAAGGATTCATTGTAGTAAGGGTTCAAAGTGTTTTTCTTAATTGTTGTTTTCTTTTTCTTGAGTCTTTTCCCATTCTGCATTAAGTGGATCTTCACATATGGGTCTGGAAATGAGAACAGGGAGTTTTTATGTCACAGAGCAGACCAACGGCCTGGCATGGATGCAGTAACTCCATCAATGAAGCACAACATCAATTGTCCTCTTTTTGAAAGTGGGCACAGTACTAAAAAGGCATTTAGAAGACCAAAACTGAGCCAGCACTACCAAATCTGGAGTTTGAAGACAGCACCTGGTGAAATCATCAATTACACAGAGAGACATATGTTTAGATGTTTAGATTTTGTATTAATTGGTTTGCACTGAATCATGAAAATTATCAGTACTAAAAAAGGTCAAAAAGATTATTGCCAAAGGCTTTAAATCTGAGATGATTTCAAAGTTTTTGCTGCTTAACTCACCTGATAATCCACCCACATCCATTTTCTTCAGATTTTTGGCCTCCAAAATCACCACTGTCAGCTTCCCTGCCGTAGGGACATACCTCAAGGACAAACATATGTCTCCAAGCCGTTCACTCTAATACACACAAGGAGTAGTGAAAAAGAAGAGTATCACATTCGATGAATGTTTAATAAATTTTAATGCATAAATTATTAATTAGTAAAAGAAGCTGGAGTTCCTAAGACTGAAATGCTTTGTGTAGTATTTAAAAAGCTAAACGCATTCATCTTCTGTGCTCCTCCCTTCTTCACCCTCCCCCTGTCATAATATTCTCCTACCTCCTCCTTCTCTGCCTTCTGCAGGTCCCTCCACTCTTGCAGAGACTGGCTGAAGTCCACACTGCTCATGGGTATCTTCACAGCTCCAATAGCATCATGTTTTGAGAAACGGTCAAAGTCATACACAGTCATCACAAGGCTCTTCCCGCCCAGCTCAGTGTATGGTACCTGCAGAGCAGAGAACATGATTAAAGGCAGTCATTTTGCACATATATTAACAGAGCTGCTAGTCAGGGGAAATGACCTTTATTTATGTTGGTGTATTACAATTTACCTTAAATGTGAAAGTCTCATTGAAGTTGGGTTCTAAGGTCTTTCTATGAACTTTGGTTTCAAACTTTTTCTTTTTGTCTGGTAGCAGATAGAGTTTAACGTAAGGGTCAGAACTTCCTCCCACATCCATCGCAGGTAGCTCTGCAGCCTGCAAGATGCCTACCACCAGCTGGAACATGATAACAGGGGAATGTAAGGGGGAGAAAAGAGACTCTGGCTAATTGACAGGGAGAAGAAAAGTATTCAAATGTGACATTTTGAGAGCTGGCAGATGGTGGGCAAAACGCATCATAGTGAATAGCTGGGACTCACCGTATTATCTGTGAAATTGTAGTCTAATGTGAAATGTAGTCTGCCCAGCTTCTCGTCTTCCTCGGGCTCGTTATCTGACAGCTCTGTTTCTTTGTCACATTCATCTTTCAGGGACTGCATGCAGACAGACATGCATCACATCAGGTAATCTGTGCTACAACTTGTGAGGATGTTCCTTCTGTATGTTGTGTACCCTCACACAACCAGACACAGAAATAGATGATACATGAGCAATGTGTGACACACAGCTTTGATTAAAGTCCAGAACAAGTTATCTCACACCATAGTTCAACTCTTATTACAACATGAAGGAGTACAAAACATCCATATGTCTGAACACACACTGACAGTTTTAGTAGTCCTGGATGACCCGGATGTCAGGACTGTGATACATTGCAAGGACAATGCGTCTGCAGGCGGGAGAGGGGGGGGGAGACAGACTGTGTGTTTTTACAGCTTACCTCATTGTAACCTCCATCCATTTCAGTGTCACAACCTCCCTTACTCTTCTCTTTCCCCTTTTTCTTGTCCTTTTCTTTGCCCTTGTCCCCCTTTTTTAGGAACTTCTTCCATACGCACACAGCGCAGGACAGCACCATACACAGGCTCACAATACAAAGGGCAGCGACAGCCCATGATGGCACTGCAAATCCACAAAGCACAGAGATTAATCATACATAAATGTTTGACAAAAAATTTAGTTCTTGTTTTTTTTCTCTTAAAATCGTTTTAAGGCAAAATGAAATAAAACAAATTTCTACATTGTCTGAATTAAGAGTACATAAAGTGAACACTGGGAAATAGTGCAATGAACCCTAATGTTCCTGTATTATTTGTTGAATAGCTGATAATTCAAGTCTTTATGGAATTTTGCATTTATTGTAAATCAACTGTACAGCTCTACAGTGTTATCTATGAGGGCACAATCCATGGAAATTTTAGACCATAATTTGGAGTTATGTTAATCCAGATTAAAACATATTGCAAGGTGTTGTCATCTGTCATGTCATGGTATTATCACAGCATAGTTCAAGTGCTTGTTCTGAAGTGTCGTTTCAAGGGACATCACCATCTCCAAGATTACATTTTTGTCATTTGGCATGCAATTTTAAATTTTCCAAAAAATGTGCATGCATATGGCTGTCCAAGCGGTACGCATGTATAACTCAAGTTAGTTTCTTTCATTTAAGGAACATTTCTAAATTGCAAGCTATAATCTTCTCTGAACTAGAGAAAATTGTTCATGTGTTTGTGTCATTGCGCCTACATTATTCTAATGCCTTATTTACTGGCTTAGATCAATCATTTCTGTCACGCCTCCAAGCAATACAAAACGCTGCAGCTAGACTCCTAATGCACTCTGGCAAGTGATCTTACATCACCCTTGTTTTATCCTCTTTACATTGGCTCCCAGTTGATTTTAGAATTTGTTTTAAAATTCTCACACTTCCCTACAGAGCACTAAATGGAAAAGCTCCAGACTACATATCTCAAAATCTATTATTTGTCCCTCATACAAGACTCAAGAATAGGGGGGGCAGAGTCTTTCAGTCTGTGGCACCAAGGCTCTGGAACAGTTTATCTCTGTGAAATCTTTTTTTGAAAAGAATACTGTTAAATTGGGCGTTCAGTTGACATTCTTCTTCTTTTTAAGTTTTTATTCTGTTTTAATGTTGTTGTCTATTGGTATTGTCTCTTAATTGTTGTAGCATAATGCAACATATATCTGTAAACAGTGCTATATAAATACATTTGACTTACTTAATCTGAAGTACAACAACAAAAATATAAAAAGAATGATTTCCAACTATGATTGTCACACAAACTTGTAATGCACTACTACCAGGGAGGGTATTTTAAAATTAAATATATATCATTTAAAATATGTCTATATGTTTAATGTGGGATATTTGCTCCATAAAAGCAAATGTGTCAAATATGGCATTTTAGATGTTGTTCTGTGCTTTGGCCTTCAAAAATATTTGTTGAAATTATATCACTTGCATTACTGTTTGCTGTTAGGGGATAATATCTGACTGAATCATTGCAGCTATCCGATCCCAGTCCTCCAGCTGACTGGGAAAACACCGATAATACTAATAAGAAATGTGAGATGTTCAAATTTCTTAATAGTGCACAAGTTTCTTAATTTCTTCATATACTTTACCAAATCCCCGTAGCAGCTAGAAAAAAATGTAACTTGCTCACATTCATAATTTTTATAATCCTTTTTCCTAATTTTCCTGGTTACAAATGTTAATTCATACATTTTATCATTAAGTCATTTCTCAAACTCACTGTGGATGCTGTGAAGTTCACTCATGAACTTATTAAGACTGTGGCCTCCAGATTTTTGGTCTGGCGTGGTAGTTGCATTTGGCAGATGGGTAGGGGTAGCTGAGGTGCTTGGTTCAACTCGGTGGTTCCCAGTCATTATTAGAAGAGTGACGACAGAAACTGGTGAGATGAAGAAAAAAGATTGCTCAGCCCTAAAAACATCACAGCACGTGCAATAAAGCGAACATTATACTTCCATAAAATAGAAGACTGTTGCAAACTTTCCGTAGAACCATCCAAACAAACAATATCAGAATCAGAATCAGAATCAGAATGGGTTTATTGCCAGATGTTGAGGTTTACAACATTAGGAAATTGCTGCGGTGCTTCAGTGCAGACAATAAGAATTAAAGTGCTATGTAGAAAGAAAGATATGTGCATGAGATATACATGAGATATATACATGAGAATAAGAATTATGAGTGCTACGTAGAAAGATATATACATGAGTGCAGGTGGTGATCAGTGCCAAACATGAAATGATGCAGTGACACAGCGTAGGGTCATGTGTTAGTGGCGGGGACAATCATGTGGTTATTGTTCATGTGTCCAACAGCAGAGGGGAAGAAACTGTTCTTGTGGCGAGAGGTTCTGGTGCGAATGGACCGGAGCCTCCTGCCTGAGGGGAGCAGGTCAAACAGACTGTGTCCAGGGTGAGAAGGGTCAGCTGAGATCCGGGCTGCACGCCGCAGTGTCCTGGAGGTGTACAGGTCCTGCAGAGATGGGAGTCTGCAGCCAATCACCTTCTCAGCAGAGCGCACAACACGCTGCAGTCTCTGTTTGTCCCTGATAGTGGCTCCAGCGTACCACACGGTGATGGAGGAGGTGAGGATGGACTCGATGATTGCAGTGTAGAATTGCATCATCGTCCGTGTTGGCAGGTTGAATTTCTTCAGCTGCCTCAGGAAGTACATCCTCTGCTGGGCTTTCTTGATGACGGAGGTGATGGTGGGCTCCCACTTCAGGTCCTGGGTGATGGTGGTACCCAGGAAGCGGAATGAGTCCACAGAGGTGATGGGGGTGTCAGTCAGGATGATGGGGGGGAGTGGGGCTGTGTGCTTCCTGAAGTCCACAATAATCTCCACTGTCTTCTGGGCATTCAGCACCAGGTTGTTGTGGCTGCACCAAGACACCAGACGTTCAACCTCCCTCCTGTAGGCAGACTCGTCCCCGTCCGAGATGAGCCCAATGACGGTGGTGTCATCTGCGAACTTGATTAGCTTGACAGACTGGTGGGTGGAGGTGCAGCAGTTGGTGTACAGGGAGAAGAGCAGAGGAGAAAGAACACAGCCCTGAGGGGAGCCGGTGCTGATGGTCCGGGAGTCCGAGACATTCTTTCCCAGCCTCACGTGCTGCTTCCTGTCCGTCAGGAAGTCAGTGATCCACCGGCAGATGGGATCAGGCACCTTCATCTGGGAAAGCTTGCCTCGGAGATGGTCTGGAAGGATGGTGTTGAAGGCAGAGCTGAAGTCCACAAACAGGATCCTGGCGTAGGTTCCTGGGGAGTCCAGATGCTGCAGGATGAAGTGTAGGGCCATGTTGATGGCGTCGTCTACAGACCTGTTGGCTCTATATGCAAACTGCAGGGGGTCCAGGAGGGGGGCCGTGAGGGTCTTGAGATGGGAGAGAACTAGGCGCTCAAATGATTTCATGACCACAGATGTCAGAGCCACGGGTCTGTAGTCATTTAGTCCAGTGATCCTAGGTTTCTTGGGGACAGGGATTATGGTAGAGGATTGAAGCAGGCAGGCATGACATGCTGCAGTGAGGAGTTGAAGATGCCAGAAAACACTGGGGCCAGCTCGTTTGCACAGTGTCTGAGGGTGGCAGGAGACACACCGTCTGGGCCGGGAGCTTTCCGAGCATTCAGACTCCTAAACTGCTTCCTCACATCTGCTTCATGAATATGAAGAGTTGTGGTCGGAGGAGGTGGTGTGAAATCCTCTTTTGTGTGGGGTGAGGGGGCGGGTGTTGCAGGTGAACAGTTTGAAGGTGGTGATGGCTCTATGGAGGGGGGAGAGGTGGGGGAATGAGTGTCCAAAGTGCCTCTATTGTTGGGGTCGTTGGACGTGTGAAGGCTGCCTGATGGCTCGTCAAAACGGCAGTAGAAGTCGTTGAGGGTGTTGGCTAAGAGCAAGTCATCAGTGGAGTGGGGGTTTTAGGCTTGTAGTTTGTAATATTCCTAAAACCTTTCCACACAGAGGCCGAGTCATTCTCTGAGATCTGCTGCTGCATCTTCTCAGAGTGCTGATGTTTGGCAATGTCCACTTCTTTAGTGAACCTGTACTTGGCCTCTCTGTAGCAGTCCCTGTCTCCGCTTCTGAACGCCTTACTCTTTTCCAGCCACAGCTTTTTGAGTTTAGGAGTAAACCAGGGTTTGTCATTGTTATAACTCACCCTGGTGCGTGATGGCACAATGCTGTCCTCACAGAAGTGGATATAGGAGGTGACAGTGTCCGTAAACTCGTCCAAGCTGTTAGAATATCAACACGGATACACACAAAGGAGAGTTTCCATATTTGTTATTGATCAGATAGCAGTAATGTGCTTATAGATGCTGTACCATCAGTGAGAAATGACTTCTCTTGTTTCTGCTGGCCTGGCAAAAACACTTGAAAACAGGATGTGAAAGCTGCTCTCTCTCTCTCTCTCTTTCTGCCAAACTGCTGACATGGAGGTGTTTGGTGAGGTGGGAGGTTGAAGCGTCATGCGTGGACCTCTGCTGTTCCACAATGAGCTGCCAAAGGTGAAAATCATGTGCCAAGGTGATGTTTAACAAAGGCAAACAAACTAAGTGAGGGGAAGTTAATTTGCCAAAAGTTGGCTCCCAAATGCAAAACTGTTTTGGTACGTTATATTCTATTCTGCAGACATCGCGAGGATTGAGTATCTGAGGCTGAATCAGCAGATGGGATCACACACAGATACTGATCTCATTTTATGTCTGCATTTTCAGGATCATACACCAATTTTGTCTGAAAAGATACACCACTGTTACTAAGAGTTGCAGGAGCAAGCAGAATTAAAGGGATACCCAAAGGAATCAGGAGTTCTTCCAAACACTATATCTACAATATTACAGAGCTCTGACACTGGTGATATTATCGTGTATTCTAAACAGCATTGCTCAAAATACATGATAAAATGTTCAGCTGTCCATGTCCTATGACAGATTCTACAACATTTAGAAAAAAGAGCTAATTTGATGCAAGACACTTAATCAACATGTATGACTCTATTCCAAAACAGAAGGTAATATGTAATATGTAACAATATGTATAAAAGGTGTCAAATTCACCTAAATGTTTAGACAATATACAGCTTAGCATATATATCAACCTCCAAAGGTTTGTTCCTTCAGAGGAAGTTCCCTTTGCTAGTTATGATTTTACATATTATTAAATGACCAAGACTGTATCCAGTAGACAATATAATAAATATTTACCATTGTGTATTCATGAGTCTTCACATAGTTAATATTTAGGTTCACCACAGTCAGGACAGAAAAAGACATTTCAACTGATGAAACAACATTTGAAATTAATAGAAAATAGAGACATACCTGTATTAAAGCGTCCCAGCAGCAATATTCGGACTTGCGGGCAATTCTTTTCCTTACACAAAAATGCAGGAGGAAGATAAAAGATGACAGAACACGAGACGCAGATGAGAACGGTGAGGTAAGGACCACCACGCTGGCCGTTGTCCTTTTGTTTTTGTGTCTTGTGCGTTCTTAGACATAAAGAAGAACAGTGCAGGTGTGCGAGAGCTGGATCAGGAGCGAGCGCGAGAGAAAGGGTGGGGTGGGTATAGGTGAAATGGCAGCTCAGTCATCTTGTGTTGCTTCCCTCTGTGTGTGTGTGTGTGTGTGTGTGTGTGTGTGTGTGTGTGTGTGTGTGTGTGTGTGTGTGTGTGTGTGTGTGTTCTGGTGAATTTGTTCTGTGCATTCAGGTCTCATGGGAGCACTGGTCCTGATTTCTGCCACCCCACCTCTTGTGACCTCTGTCCCATCCCCGCAGGTCACCCTCACCAGGCCAGTGATGTATATTCATTAGTGTAGTGACATGGCATTTTAACAGCTCGTTAGCATACTGAGACTTCAGCAATAGAGGACATTTACATTCAGCGTGGACGGCTCGATATGCGTGCGTGTTTGTGTGCATGCGCGCATCTGTACATCTGGCAGTAGCTGCAGAACTGTCTCATACTATCTATGGACGATGTTGCCTGATTTAGAAACTTAGGATGTGGTTTCTGCAGCAACACTGAGATCAGGTTCCTGCCCCGCCTCATTCACCTTGAGGACCTAGAGATACTGTACAGAAGGAGGGATGAGACAGAGGGAAAAGAGAGGGTTTGGGGGATGGGCTGGGAAATATGGAGATCAATGTAAGTTGCTGTTTGTGACATGTAGAAAATAGTAGCACTGTATTTTATTTGGTCACTACAAACTGTTTTAAATGCTTTAAGTGAATTAATTATAGAGAAGGCCTGCAGGCCAGAGATGTGCTGCTAATCCTGCGTTCACCTGTGAGAAATCACAATTATTGGCCTTATTTTAGTAAATAAGCTTAATTTTAGGACAAGAAGCTGTATAATCAACTTTTACCAGAGACACATTACAACAAAATACAAATATCCAACATTTATCATATATAGATTTCATGAGTATGACCTTTGACCTTTTTCAGGTTGAAAACAATATATGTTAAGAGTATAATCATTATTTACTCAGAAATCATTAATTAATCAGTAAATTTATGATCATAACTCATTTATATATAAAAAACTCCCAATGAAACAGTATGTAACACTGAAGAGTGTAATGTTATCTCAAGTTGAACTATAAGTCATGAAGGTTGGCACCATGTGACACTTCGTTACATTTCTCATTTAATGTTTCATGTACTCTATTTTGGAAGTCCTGCATTTATCTAACAACACATAGGGTGGTCTGAGCCCAAGTAATCAATATAGTAAGATTTGTGTTTGGATGCCATGTCTTGCACAGCATCAAAGGTTTTATAGTGCAAGACAGATGGTACCTGTGCCCTAAAGTCTTTCAGGTCAGAGTGACCTGCTAATGGTGGTGAACAA